CAGATACTGCTCTTGTAGTCTGTATTGGCCTCATTTTCTTTTTCTTTATAGCACCATCAAGGGCAAGTTTGTCTTTAATGCTTTGATTATTTGGTTAAAATCTATCTCTTACCGAACTTCAGGCTCACAGGAGGAAGAGACTATATCATTTTTTTAATCTTGTTTATCACAAGAGAAAAGTATTGTCTAGCGTAAAGCAGGAGCTCAAGAATATTTGTGAAGGATCATGGGTGGATGGATGAGTGGCTTCTTGAAATATCCATTTGTGCACCAGTTAGAACGAAGCATTGGTTCATTGCCAAGATGTTGGAGGCCCAACAAGGACTAAAACAACAGATGGAAGAAGAGATCTTCCTTCCCTCGGAGAAAAAGGGGCAGATGTGTCCCTCCTGGCAAAGATGCCCAGTCACCCAAATCACATCTTAGGGCCCTTTTCCTCTCCAGCTGTTGCTGCGCATCAGCCCTGCTGGCTCCCGTCTGCACAGCTGGGCCGGCCTCCCTCAGCGTGCGGCTCTCTCAGTTTGCACCTGGTGCCATCCTCACTGCCAGTCAGGAAAACATACCTTCCCCTCCAGTACCCAGGAATTAAAGGAGCCATTTGGAGTCTTAGGACAAGAGTGTCAGTATAATTCTCTATTCCTTCTTTGGCTGGACAAACATTTTATGCTCATTAGGAAAGTATTAAAATAATTTTGAGCTTGGGCGGAGGAGTCATTTCCTGAGCATCCCAGCTCAGGCACCTGTGTGGTCTTGGGAGAATGACGTTTCTGAGGCTCAGTTTCCTGATCCACAAAATGGTGATAGTGTCAATGCCCCCTGGCTGGGATTGATGTGGGGTACTTTAGACCAGCATGGTTCAACAGTAATATAGTGCAAGCCATATATAATTTAAGTGTTACAGAAACTGTATTTTAAAAAAATAAAACGAAAGGAGTGAAGTTAACTTTTAATATCTTTTATTTAACCCTCTATATCTAAAGCATGGTCATCTCAACTTGTAATCAATAATAAAACAACTGTTGATGAGGTATTTTGCATTCTTTTCACTCATATGCAGCCTTTAAAATCTGGTGCACAGTTTGTACTGCAGGCGCATTGCAGAGGCTCAGCAGCTCGTGGCTACTGTATTAGGCAGAGCTGTTGTAGCTAATTCATAAAAGTACACAGTACCTAGTTCATACTCGCACTCAACAGATGTTGGCAAAATTATTGTTACTCATTTTAAAACTCCAAAAATGGGGTGGACAAACACTCGTACTGCATGTTTGCATACACTGCCATGTGGGAAGGCGCGTCAGATCTGTTTTTCTGTTTCAGAGGAAGAGCGTTGCCTTTAAGTGTTCTCAGCTGTTCCCTGTAAGCTGGCCCCTGGGTTTGCGAGTGAGGTCAGTCTGGTGGTTTATGGTCCTCTCCTCCTGGGGAGGTGGGAAGGGAGAAACTCAGTGTGCTGCAAGAGCTGCGTGTCTGTCTCTGTTTCTTGGCTCTTCTCTGTTTAATTATTTGGAGCTGGAACAACTTGATTTTAAAACAAAACATATGGGCTGAGAGTGATCCGGAGGACATTTCCTAGTGATGCAGCACCGAAGGTATGTGTGTGTTGAGGCCCCGGCCTGAGGCACTTGCTTGCTTAGGTGCTTCCCTTGACTTTACATCCAGGGTTCTTTCTCCAAATTCTTAAACCTCTGTTTGGAAAGTCACCATTACTGCAGAAAATATTGGAGCAAGTTTATAAAGGAATGGTCCATGAGTCCTCTTTAAATCCCGATGTTTTTCTCTCACCTTTTTATGGAAAGCTCTTGGTTTTCAATCCATTGATATGGTTCATGAAAGAAAAAGGGTTTTCAAAGTGGCAGAGAGAGGAGAACTTTATACAAAGAGGAGAGAGTTGACCCACCATGGAATTTCTCTGTTTTCTACTTCGCTCCATTGCAGACTCTAGCCTGGGACATCTCTGTTCTTGAACAAGGTTCTCATCTTTCTGCCTCAACCTTCCTTTGCTTTCTGGAGAGGAAAGTCATGATCTCTTGTTCTTGTTCCACATGATTCTAACCTGGGTGCCTCGATCTTCTATTCCTTGGGGGAAATGGGGATTTATCAAGACTGGGAAGAACATGTACTTCGATGCTAGACTCCTCTTAGTTCAAATCTCTGCTTTTCCACTTAGAAGCTATGTGCCTCCGTGAGCCTTATTTTTCTCTTTCTTAAACTGTGTGTATATTTAAAAATAAACTTGTTGTGATGTTTGAGAGAGACACTGCCCACAGAGCACTGTGGCTGCTGAGTGATGAAGGGAACTAAATGTTAGTGATTAGGCAGGGCTCTCAGAAGCGACATGTCCACCCTCTTCCACAGGGAGGGATGCTGACTTCAATGGCTTCTGCCACAACATCCCACTCATCTCGTGATGTCACTGTGATTAAGTACTGCATGGGGGCAGCGTGAACATTTGTCTGTGAAGAGCTTTAGGATCAGAGCTTTAGCACTGGTCAGGCATTGGTCTGGGATGAGTTGGATGTCATATGTGTGGAGTCACATTCAGTGATCTCTAGGTCTGATGGGACCCCGTGTGTGTACACATGTCACCCTGTGGTGCCGAGGGCCTGCAAATGTGAGAGACAGGGAGAGAGTAACATGCTGCACTGCTTTGTTTTTGTACCACAGCGTCCCCCCTACCTTCTGGGGAACTGGTCCTTCCTTGGTTTGGATCAGAAACATAAAGTGAAATAGCACTCTGACCAGGGCGGTTAGAAAGACTGTAGTCTTTCTGATGGGATGTCGAAAACAAAAAAATCTTTCTAAATACAATTCAAACATCTAAGAGCAAAATCAGGAAGAAAAGGGTCTTAGGTTTTTTTGCCAAACCAAGGACTTGCTGTAAGTTTTCTGCGTGGGGGCTCAGAACATGATGCGAGCTCCTACTGCCCTGCCGCATCCTTGTGGGCAGACTTGGGAAGGTCGACTTTTAAAAACAGCACCGCGTTTTCAGGGCAGTCCCTTGTTTGTGCTTCTTCGGTTCCCCTCCCCTCTGCTCCTGCTGTTTTCCCAGCCTTGGTCGGATTTTTAGCGGATGCCTACAAAATGTCACCCCGTGGCGGATGGTGAAGACCTGGCCAGGTGCCCAGTTCTCAGGTATCCCCGAACCTGGAAAGGGGGGCCACCCTCACTGTCGCTTTGTCTGCGCACCCCTCTCAGTGGACGGCTTTCCTGACATTTAACTTCACCAGGATGAAGGAAAATAAACAGTGTGCTGCTGACGTCAGATGCTGCTGGTCGTCTGGCCTGTTCTTCTCACTTCAGTGTTGGAAAGGAAATTCTGAGTTGCTATTGTTGATGAAGATGAGGAGTGAGCCTTTCCTCACGGCCAGTTACACCCAGTTCTGATCTTTGAGCTCTTCGTGGGCAGACAGCACTGTGCGATGTGTCATCCAACCTGTGACACCCTGATTAGAAGTCACATAGTATTTCTGAAACAATTAAGGGAAAACAACTATGAGGTACCATCAATTTTAAGACACTTCCCAATTTCAGAGATGTTAAAGTATGGGCGGGATGGAAATGCGTGCCTTAGAACAGATGGACTATACTGAGGACGAATTAAAATGGAAAGCCCCCCTGGTTACCAGTTGTTCTCTCCCGCCACACGCTCCCACCCCCCGTATTCACCGCAGCTGATGGGCAGCACGTGAGATCCATGTTCGTGGATGAGGGACACCTCTGCCTTGGCTGAGTGCATCGTGTCCTTCTTTAACTCGGCTTCATGTCACTTGTGTGCTCCATGTCACACACGAAGCTGTGCTCCGTGTCACACAGGAAACTCGGCAGGGATAACCAGACCAAGTCATGGAAATCCTCTCAAGTATAAGTAATTTAAGATTCTGAAGAACAGAAGCATCCAGGAATTTTCTTGAGGTCACCTTGGACTTGATAAGATTCATCCTTATCGAGGATGTTCACTCCCTTCGAAGGAGTGACAAAGAGCTTGTTGAGGGACAGCGGGCTTTCCGTGTGCCCTCTCTGGCCTGGCCCATCTGTAACGGCTTGGTGGTGAAGAGAGTTGCCAGCTCTTCCCAGTGCACGTCCCCGGTTTTCCTCTCACAGTGCACACCAGCTTGGACCTGTGGGGGTGCGCGCTGTGCCTCTTTGACCCTCAAAGGCACCATTAAACATTATGGATGACCTTGATCTCATTCAAGATTCTACCTCGTTATTATTCATAACCTGAATGATTTCTAAGCATCTATGTGTCCCCAGCCCCTTTTTTATTTTAAAATTTTATTGATTTTTCAGTTTTACCGAAGCGTAAGTGACAAAACTGCAAGGTGTTTAAAGAGTACACATGATGATTTAATACACACACGCATTATGAAAGGATTCTGCCCATCAAGTTAATGAACACATCCATGCCCGCACATGGTTCCCTTTGTTTTTGGTGAGAACATTTAAGTTCTATTCTTTTAGCAAATTTAAATCGTACAGTATCAACTATAGTCACCACTTTGTACGTTAGATTCTCATATCTTATTTATCTTTGACAGAAAGTGTGTTCACTTTAACCCATCCGCCCCACTTCCCCCACACTGAGTAACCACTTTTCTACTGTCCCTATGAGTTTGACTTACTTATTTTTAGATTCTACGTACCAGTGACGCACGTGGTGTTTATCGTCTCTGCCTGGATTATTTTCTTTAACATAACATCCTCAGGTGCAGCCTTGTTGTCACATTTGGTAGGATTTCCTCCTTTTTAAAGGCTGAATAATATTCCATTGCATATGTACACACTTCATTTTTTTAAACCAATGCTTTTTAATGCTGCGATAACTTTAATCAAGGGGATTCTGTTTTGTTTTGTTTTCTGTTAGCCTGTTACTCAGATTTTAGAGAAAACTATTTCTCGGTCCGGTAAAGTGGCAAAAGAATTGACAGAAAACTTTCTAATTGATACCAGTAAAAACATGGTGCTTACCCTTGTATTTATACTGCTTTCTCTCTCTCTTTCAGTTTTTGGGAATAGCCTTTCTCGGAATCGGACTGTGGGCGTGGAACGAAAAAGTGAGTGACTCCCGGCGATGCGCGCGTCTGGCCGTCGGGGGCGCAGGCTGTTCTGCGGGAGGTTGTCTTCTCTTCCTCTGAAACCGCAGGGCGTCAGCAGTGGTGGTCTGGGGGACTGGGTGAACGGTGAAAGCGTTAAACAACAGAGAACAAGAACTTGATAGACACAGACACTAGTAGGGTGATTGCCAGTGGGAAAGGGGGTGAAGGAGGAAGGGGAAGAGGGCCCGGGGGCGTAAATGGAGACTTAACTTTGGGTGGTGAACACACAATACAATGTACACGTGATATATTATGAAGTTACATACTTGAAACCTATGTAATTTTATTAGCCAGTGTCACTCGGGTGCATTCAATAAAAATTAAAAAAAAAAAACAAAACATGATTCTTTAAGGAAAGTATTTTGCCAGATAATGCCATATTTCAAAGACTCCTTAGGGGTGGAGCCTAAACTGATCACTGTATCAGAATAATCACAGAAGTAACAATACCTGTGCGCAACAAACTGTGTATTGGAATTTCCTCAGTCAGAGATGAGTGTTTCCATGAAACATTTCCTAATATTGGCACAAGAACTTCAATGATGCTCATAAACATCACTGAACAACCTGCAGCCTTCTTTCTATTTGTTTTTAACCTTTTGGGAGATTGCCCAAGCCTTAAAGATCTTTTTTATTTTTTTAAGTGTGAGCATTATGGGATAAGCTGTTAGCCTATCCTGTGAAGGAAGCTGGGTATAATTTGTTTGAATTAGATAAACTTACCACTAATGCTACTTGTCTGCTGACTGAAAACATTTAGGAATATTCAAAATTTATGATCAGATACAGTATAGTAAAAGGAAAAAAAACCTGGCAGTGGAGAGGAGCGTAGTCCAAGATTCAGTGAAGATACACTGTTCTGAGCAGTTTATACTCTTAAGTTCGCTCTTTACTTTCCATCTGCACCTTTTAATATTTTCCATATAACTTCCCCTACTGAGGCCAAGCACTAGAATTCAAAGACAAATGTGAACTCTTTTCTTCCCCCTTTTTTGGAAGTGAAATTGCTGGCAGCATTTTATCAGTTCTGGTATTTGGCTACACAGTAAAGCTTTATCATCTCCCACCTTGTAAGAATGAGGGAGTGGATGGACTGGTTAAAAGTTGTAAACTAAGAGGTTAGCTTAAATTTTCCCAGAAGATTGTTCTCTTATCTCTTTGGTATTTTACCCTTTGAGCTTGACCAGGGCTCGAAGCCAAGCAGTTCTTTGAAGTATTATATGTGTTAAGAAGAAAGAAAAACTAAGAAAGCACAGCAAACAAATGCCTCTGATGCCGGTATAAATTTCCACAACTGAAACAATGTTCGGATGGAATGCATCAAGTAAAACTCAAAGTAAATCCTGAGTTTTGAAACTAACAACCCTCTGTTTATTTACAAAATACTGTGCAGAATGTAAAATGTTTTATGGGAAAATGGAGGAAGACAAACTAAGTTCCCCAAACAGAGATAATTTTATCTCTAGAAACTTTAATGTTGAATACCGGTCTTCTCTTGGATTATGACCAGCTTCTGCCTCAATCCCCTTATAAGCTTGGAGATTTGCATTGGTGGAATCGCAGAAATTCCACTTCTAGAAGCCCTCGGGTTAGTTCAGTGCTGGATCGAGCAGCTCCGTGTAACTCTCCTTTAATAAGAGTCCATTTCTATCTGCTTCGAACAGACGCTGGAAGGCATTAAATGAACTAATTGTCTGTTCTAGCAATAAACAGACAATTGGTTGTTTTGAAGGGTTTTTTTTCTCTTTTTGTGAAATATAATTATCTTTTTGTTTCATCAGCTGCACCAAATGTCTCTTCTCTGATAAAATCACGAAATTCCAAAACTAGCAAATATCAGATCAGGAGGGCGATGTGGTCTTCAGGGAGGGATGAAATACCAGTCCCTTCTTTGTCGGGGCCGCTCTCAGTAAATGGAAGGTTTCTTTGGAGATCTGAAGTTACTCGGACAAGGTCACCCACTTACTGTGTAGCAGCCCTCTGAGTCTGAGAGCAGATGGAGCGGACAGAGGGTGGAGGGCATACAGCAACCCGGTTTGGCAGGCACTGGCCGCCTGTGGGCCCTGGACTCGGGAGCAGCAGTGAGTGATGCAGAGTCCCTGTCCGCCCCCCCACACACACACACACTTGGTGATTCCTAGGAACAGGAGGAAAGGCCAGTAGGATCGGAAGGGCCAGAACAAGGGCGAGAAGAATGGGGCGTGTGGCAAGAGAGGCCAGCAGAGGCCTGAGCAGGTGGGGTCCTGCAGAAATTTGGCTGAGAGGAAGTCACCAGGGCATTTTGACAAGGGAGTATCCTAATCTGGCCTTTTGCTTTAAGATTGCTTTGTTTGCTGTGTACAGTTTAGGGGCTGAACAGACCTGAGTTCCAGTACTGTCATCTGTGTGACTTGGGGCAACTGTGTCAACTTCTCCGAGATATCCTTTTCCCATTTGTGCAGTGGGGCTCTAATACCACCTCAGAGGATTGTTGCGAGGATTACATGAGTTGGCCCCTAAGACAGTGCCTGCAGTAAAGTAAATGCTTCTGGGAGACATGGCTCCCTCTCCTGGAAGTATGACTGTAGCCTGTCCACCCCTGCATGGGGACTAGGGCAGAATATGGCTTTGGAAGATGCCCTAGGTTTTAGATGCATTCCTAGCTCTGATTCATGGGCCAGAGAATTGGTTTGGTATTGGGGGCTCTTAAGGAGGATAGGATGCGCATCCATCACCTTGGTAACTGCAAAGCCTGCTCTGTCCATGCCCTTTGGGTCAACTTCTAAGCTCGACCAGGCCGGTTGACAGGGTGGCACTGGAAGTGAACCACACCTGGCCAAGGGCGGTATGTGGGTTGCTTCTGTGGGCCAATCACTCCAGCCCATGAATCAGTAAATAACCCTCCCCTCTGCCCCCCAGGGAGAGATGTATGACATTTACATGAGAGGAGGCCTGGAGGGCAAGGCTCTGAACTGGGTCACATCTGGAAGGATCAGATTTTTCAACACCCATTTTTATGTGATCTACAGAGACTTGGGAGGCAAAAATTATTATTGCCTGTTCCTATGTAATACCAGGCAGAGTTTTAAACCTAGGGCTAATATTACTATTGACTGTTATACATAATAAATAGTTAAATAATTCTGAATTCCCAGTTGACTGTGAAGATGCAGAGGGTAACTATTATCTCCAGAGAAAAGTGGTTTACGTGCAGTTTTTCAGAATTAGCAGGATCTGCTGTTTCGGGAAGAACATGAACAGTTGTGTAGCTTGACTTGCAGTTGCACAGCAGGCTTGGTGGCATCCAGCCACGATCCGCTTGTTTGTTCCAGTAACATTCATTGTGCACAGAGCACGGGGCAGGGCTGGTGCTGGATGCTGGGGTTGAAATTCCTCAGGGAACTTCCAGTCTAGCAAGGGTGCACACGTGTATGTAACATATACACATATGCACATAAAGCACTGCAGTGAGTGCTGATTTAAAGTGTGCATGAGTTTATTCCTGCAGCAAAGCACTTACTACCTCTGTCTCTTTGGGTTACTCCTACTGTTGAAAAGACCTTCCTTCCACCAAAGTAGAATCATGTCCTAGTAGTTTTCACTCATTGGTTATGGATCTGCCCTCTTGGATCCCACAAAATAAGTCCTTCTCCATATTGGCCCTTGAGGTATTCAGGGTGGAGTCCTGTTTTTGTCTCTGAGTTTCTTGGCTAAGCATCTGCTTCTCTTTGGGTGGAGTCCTGTCAGCATCTTGGTCATGCTTCTCTGACCTCCCTCCCATATGTCCTCTGTCCCACTGAGAGAGTGCTTTAGGGGACATAGTGGGTATGGCTGGGTCATGGGCTGCCCGTGAAGATTGAGGTCACATGGTTGATCACTGAGAGTTCAAACTGGTCTCAGATCCAGCTGGGTTGACCCTATCCAGAGTCAAATGCAGGATCCCACATTTACCCAGCTGTCATCTTCTAGCACATTCCACATTCCACTCAACTTGGGTTTAGCTGTACGTGTCGACCAGCCTGCTCCTTCAATTCCTTTCTCTGCTCAGGCCTTCCTTTAGCTCCTTGCCCCAGTGCCAGCAGGGAGAATCCTGATTCAGTAGGTCTGGCTGGACACAGGGATGCTCAGTGTTCACGAGCCTCTTAGATTATTCTGAATGCAGTCAAAGTTTAGTTATTACTGATCAAAGCCACCGATATGTGAAGCAGGCCAAGGACAGAGCCCAGTGATATGTCACTAGAAATTTTCTTTGGGGTTGACACTCATTCACTTACGTTTGCCCCTGGGGTGCCACGTGCTTTATAATCTATCTACTTGTCATGACATCAGATTGTTTTTCTGCATCTTGTCTTTATAGCTAGACTATAGCCTTCAATTTATCTCTGATTAACCAGCCGAGGGACTTATTGATCCTGTCACTTTCTTGTTGAACCTGTCTGTGTCATGGAGCACATCACTGTCTCACCTAGGTACTCGGGAACCCTGATCGGTAAAGCGAGGGCTGAGTCATGGTTTACCATGTCTCCCTTCTAGAAACACTTTCCTCACCTGGCCTGCAAGATAGCCCACATCTCCTGCCGCACAGGCGGTGCCTTCTCCCACTCCTTTGCCAATTCCAGCTCACCTCTCTGACCTCTAAATTTTGCAGTGCCCCAGGCTGGGTCCTGGGATCTCTTCTCAATCTTTACTCATGCTCTTCCAGGGGTGTCCAACCTTTTGGCATCTCTGGGCCACACATTAAATACACAAACACTAATGAAAAGCGACGAGCCAGAAAAGGGTTTTAAGTAAATTAACAGTTTCGTGTTGGGTTGCATTCATGGCCATCCTGGGCCGCATGCGACCTGTGGCTGTGGGTTGGAGACCTTTGTCAGGCTTGGGGCTTTAAATGGTCTCTAACACTGATGTCTTCCGAATTTAGATCTGTGCTTCCAACCTCATCTGAATTCCAGACTTGCATGGCCTACATACCACCTCCA